AAATGATTAAGACACATGCTGAAAGTTACTTTTTTTTTTTTTTTTTAACTTTTTTTTATTTTAAAAAAAAAAAAAAAAACAAAAACAAAAAAAACCATGGTTTCATTCCCTTTTTAAGTCTTTGTGGGCATGCTCTTGGAAAGGTATGAAAAAGAAAATCCGCTTTTTGGTGGGGGACCCGAAATCTTATAAGAATGCCCAGAAGGGGTTTAATATTTCAAGCCAGGACCCGTTGGCTATTGGTGGGTCTTGCCTTACTATTCAGTTTAATGTTGTTCATGTACCTGCTTGAGTGTGCTCCACAAACAGATGGCAATGGATCTCTGCCTGGCGTTGTAGGGGAGAACTTGGGTAAAGAATATTACCAAGCTCTTCTACAGGAACAACAGGAACACTATCAAACCCGGGCTACTAGTCTGAAGCGTCAGATTGCTCAGCTAAAACAAGAGCTTCAGGAAATGAGTGATAAGCTGAAATTGCTGCAGGAAAAAAAGAGCCCAAGAGTCAATGGCATGGGCTACCAAGGCACCAAAGAACAAGCATCCAATGATCTCCTAGAGTTTCTTCATTCCCAAATTGACAAGGCTGAGGTGAGCATCGGGGCCAAGTTACCTAGTGAATATGGTGTCGTTCCTTTTGAAAGCTTTACCTCCATGAAAGTGTTCCAGTTAGAGATGGGGCTCACTCGACACCCAGAGGAGAAACCTGTTAGAAAGGATAAGCGAGATGAGTTGGTGGAAGTTATTGAGGCTGGCCTAGAGGTAATCAATAATCCAGATGAAGAAGATGGACAAGATGATGATGATGAAGGAATAGGAGAGAGACCGCTCTATAATGAAAATGATTTCATAGAAGGTACTGTAAAAGCTTATTTAATAATTTACGCATTTCCCAATCAGCTGCAAAGAATGTCATCATACACCATGAATAATTGCAAAGGAATTTATGGTTGTAAAACAAAATTGATAGCTTTTTTTCATGTCTTTATAGTTTTGATATCTACTCTATTATGTAGTACTTTTGCTGCACTAAGAAAAACCTTAGACCTGGTTTGCCTGTTGAAGTAGAATCTGTTGCTTCATAATATTGCACAATACCATGCATTGATGAGGGGGGGAAGTAATAATTTCAGTGGAGATATTTTACTATAGCAAGCAGACAAAACAAGCTGTGCCCGTTTGAATTTTAACAGTTGGATATCCCATGGTTGAAGATCATTTTGCATATGCTGTGCTGATGTAGATATAAAATGGTACCTAATACTGAAGAGGAGCTTTCAAAGGCACATAGGGCAGTTAGATGCCCGGCTCCCTTTGAAGGTCATGAGACTTGATTGCCTAGCTTCCCTTTCTGCCTTTGAAAATCTCCATTTAACTTTGTCCCTTTGTATCCGTTATGACTAGATAACTGTAAACCGCAGGTAGGTGAAGAGGTCTATATTAATGTCACAATGCAAACTAGTTGACAATATTTAAAACATTGGCACATGCACCTGTGTTTGGGGGGGGGGCGGGAGAGTGGTATTTATAGAGTAACTTACCTTTGTTAGAGTATTTGGTTGCTGAGTATCTATGGGTAGATCTTCAGGTGGCATAAAATAGCACAGCTCTATTAGTCAATGAATCTATGCAGAGTTAAACCAGCTCAGGATCTGGTCCCTGATGTGCAAAACCTGAAACCAGATTATTCAAACATATGACTTTTAAAATGCTGGCAAGTACCTTCAAGACTGAGTTCTAGAGAAATAGTGGTCACTGTACCTTTTCAGTATATCAGCCTTGAGAAAGCAATGTTCATATATCATTGCTTCAGTGTCTTGCAGCTGAAATAACATTCATCTTCTCTCCCCTACCCCTGGGTTTCTGAGAATTTAACATAACAGGAATCACATAACCATTATTTAGTACTTAAGTGAAAATATTTTTGTGCTGTAGGTTATTAGGGTATGTTAGTTACTAGCCACAGTAATGTAACACTGTTTCCTTTCAACCAGAGACTGTACCTATACAAGTCACCCTATGGTTTCCTATACATGTGAAAATAGCATTGGCGGACATGAGAAACTTTTTGGCCAGCTGAAGAGAAATTTTCTTTGAGCATTAACTATTTTGACTTCAAATTTCAGAACTAAACCTTTCATTTTTAATGTTTTGTCCCCTTCAAGGACTTCAGTGTTTTACTTTATAACTCGTCATTTTGTTGATGGAAGCCAGGTTAGAAAGTTGCTGCCATTATATTTGAGAAATACAGCGCTCCCTTATAACCGCTTAAGCCTGAGCGCTTACGATGGATGTCAGACCTCATTGTCCCTGTCCTAAAATAACAGTAAATGCATTTGTCACTGTTCCTGTCCTAAAATAATAATAAATGCTCTTAATGTCTGTCTAGAAATTGTATCCCAATAACAAGGTTTCTCTGCAAAGCTTTTAATCACTTTATTTAAATTGGCTTTAATGGACTGTTTCTGTATTGACAAATATTTTGGCACCTAAACTGATGTATCATCTTCAACAGTTGAACTCCAATCTAAGATTCTAATGAGATATTTAGAACCAGAAACAAATTTAAGCAGATTGGGCCAGATGACTGGGAAACTGATATTTAATAGTATGGAAGATCTGAAAACAATAGAATTGATTACTTTAAGTTTAAGGGAAACCGAATGGCTTTGTATTGTCTATTTTAGCCCCATTGAGTTACTAAGATTTAGTAGACAGACTGAATTTAAAGAAAAACCTAATTTTACAAGCATAATTATACCAAAATGACACAAACAAAATAGGAAAAAAGGCATTTTACTGTGGAGTAAGTGTCCACACGGGGAGTTTATAGTGGTATAACTTCCTGTGTAGACAAGACCTTCTTTAGTAAGTATCTAAACTTTTTTCTAAACTTCTGTTTATGAAGTATCACTTCATTTTTATTTTTGAGCTGTGCTTTCGCTTGTGTGCTTCTGGATATGTATATATTGGACATTTAATTTTTAAATATTTGCTCAGGTCTCTTTTTAATAAGGCTTCAAAGTCTCATGCAGACCATTTCCATCTCCCTTACTATCATCTTTTCTTTCCCCTCACCCCTTGAACTTGCACTGAATTTTTTTCCAACCTAGCTTTTTTTAATCTGAGATACAGTGGTCATAATCAAGAAATGAAAACAATCATAATGTTATACATCTGCGAAATCTCAGTTCCTGTTAAATCTTGGGGCATATCTACATGAAGACACTCAGGGACAGTAATATTTCATTAAGTAAGGGTTGAATTTAAAATGCATTAGCTAAAAGCACATTAAAGCCTTGTGAACGCTGTCATTCTGAGCTAAGCTGAAGTGAATTAAGGCCAGTTTAATTCACTTCCAAAGGGAATTAAGCTAAGGCCACTTTACTTCTGAATGAGCTCACCCACACAGCTGTAATGCACTTTAAAAATGCATTTTAAATTCAACCCGTTAGTTAATTCAGCATAACTTTACCGAGCGTCACCATGTAGATGTCCTTTTCCCCCAATGTGGGGGGGAGTGTGTGTGTGTGTGTGTGTGTGTGTGAGAGAGAGAATCTAGCATTTTCAAAGAATATACTTTCTAATAATATAGTGTATATAGTTAATGAAATTTGTATGTAGTGTGGATTCCCAGTGGGGCTGACCATATGGCCATAAAAGCTTCACACAGAAGCCATGATACTTGCCAAATATGATAGCCTGCCTTGGTACTACTCTCCTTTTCCAACTCCTATTTTCTGCATTTTACTAATCCTTCAGTTCTTTGGTATCCTTTTGCTGGTGTGTTCTAGCATTTCACGTTCTTCCTCTTGCCATGCCTTCCATGTCTGATTCAAGCAGCCTGTGCTGTTGAGCAGTTAGCTTGAAGTATATTTTCTAAAGCAAGGCAAATGGTTTTCAGAGGTGTGTCTCTGATATCAAATCTGGTATCACATCACGTCAGTGAATGTGCACTTGAGCTCAGCACCAGCTTGTGGCATCTTTGCTATTGATGGGGCCGGATCAAGAAAATAGTAAAAGGAAATTGCAGATCTGTACATTGAAACTGTAAAATAATATGGTGAGTGCCACAAGTAACTTTAGGTAGAGAAATAACACTGGTCTACAATTTTTGAGAAGTCGTCTGCTTCAGCGATAAAATGTGCTATTTATTATGTATTTTGATGAGCTGAATTCAAATATGACAATTAAAACAAGTGATTGGCTACTGTTTCTAAGATATTTAAGTTTTTACATTTTATGTCTATGTAGATTGTGTAGATAGTAGAGTTTTAATCATAAATTGTAAACCT